AAATTAAAATCTTGTCTGAACATTTTTATATTTCTTCAAACGCAATGAAATATAAAATTCAAAAAAATATATTTGTATTATAAACAATCTGAATAAAAAATTGATCGAATCAAGTTGACATGAATTTTGTGTAATAATTTTTCTCTCTCACGTCTAAAAGTGATCATAAAATTTAAAGTCGAAACCCGACCTTTTATCTTCAACTCCTTTTACAATTACATGAATTTTCAGCCTAAGCAAAAGTTGCCCCGGTTTGACAACCATTATTTGAAAATTTTTTTTTCTTGCATACTCATTTTTAATTATACGTTCACACAATAAAATTTCCTACTTTTTAACTATATTCTCTTTAAAAGTACGATTCAAAACATTATTTTAGTCAAATAATGGTCGTCAAACATGAGCAAAAAAATGAAGGCAGATTTCTTTTTCTAAGACGAAACCTAAACTAGCAAAAAAAAAAAAAGAAAAAAGGAATAATATTATCCAGTACTAATAGTATTTAAGCAACTTATTTGGTATTGAATGATAAGTTGAATTAAGCCTGTTTCGTCCGAGAACTCATCATATTACAAAATCTGATATATTGAAATGGGCAGAGGCAGATGCAGAACTTTAAAGTTAGGGGGGCATAATCGAACTAGTAAAGAAGTTGAGAGAAATTCTACAAACGAAAATTTATTTCCAAAAAAATCATACCCTATGTAATTTTGCATCCGAAAATTTACATGGGATATGACTTTTTCGGATGTAAAATTTCGAAATTTTTTTATGTCATATTTCATATAAAATCTCCTAAGAAAATGATGAAAACTACAATTGAGAACTTTGTATCGCAAAAATAATAAATGTTAATAAAATAATTGAATTTTTTAAAAAAGAAGAATGCGAGTTAGACGTTTTTATGTAAGACTCACGTTTAACGTATTTTTAACTATTTTCGATATTTGTTTGGACTATTCGATATGCCCATAATGTAGTTCTCGACATAAGTTTCGAGATGACATAAGTAATTTGTATATTCAATTAGCGTACGATCGTTGGATAATTTTTGAAATTAGCATATTATTTTAATTCAAATTTAAAGTGATTTTGCCTCTGTTTGGTGGAGATTAAAATCAAATTTTTAGAAAATTTTGATCCCCCTAGGTCTGCCCATGAAAATGGGGGAAATATGAACTAAATTACTTGTCACAGTTCAGTTTGACAAGCTAACGTTCATGCCTATGTCAAATATCATTTTTATCCTTGCCATGGTCCAACATCATAGTTTTAAATTATGGAGGGCCAAAACAATCCTTTAACGAATTTTGCTATTCGTCCAGAGCCCTGGACGAGCAGAGCGCCACAAGGGACAGGACCCCCCTAGGTCTGCCCATGAAAATGGGGAAATATGAACTAAATTACTTGTCACAGTTCAGTTTGACAAGCTAACGTTCATGCCTGTGTCAAATATCATTTTTATCCTTGCCATCGTCCAACATCATAGTTTTAAATTATGGAGGGCCAAAACGATCCTTTAACGAATTTTGCTATTCGTCCAGAGCCCTGGACGAGCAGAGCGCTACAAGGCCCCCTATTGGTTGGGAGTCTGTGCGGATTGACTCCCAGCCAATAGGGAGGCGCCACATGTGCCCCTGGAGAGACATGGCTGACGTGGCCCTGTCTCTAGTAAAACTCTATTTTGACCAAGTTATGAGTAAATGTCTAGAAAATCATTTTTTGTCATCAAATTTATTTTATTTGCTTAAAGCCTACTTTTGCTTGCTGATAAATCAATTTTGTTTAAATATCAGAGGCCAACACGATAAATGTAAAAAATAAAATATATATATCATTTAAACACCACGAGTGATAAACAACATTACTCATAAAATTGTGTTTAGTATATAAGTTGGATAAGCAATATTAAGAGCTTGTTTGGCATGATTTTTACTCTTGTTGCTTCTGTAGAAAAGCTTCTGGCAAAGTTATTTTAATTTTTGTTTAGAAATTAATTTTTAAAAGAATTTTTTTTCAAATTTATTTTTAGGGAAAATCATATTGAATATTCTCTCTCTAAAATCTCTTCCAACTAAAAGAATTACTTTTATAAAAATAGCCAAATAGATTCAAAATCAACTTTTAAATTTCAAAAGTTATTTTTAACTTCTCAAAAATCATGTGAAGCAACAGTTAAACTCACTGACAGTGGACCAACGATTATGATTGCAACGTCCGCATAGACAGACAATAATGCACCAATGAAACAAAATCAATCATTATGCTGCACAGCTGCAATGCCAATCAATTGTGGGTCACACAATGGATTTCGCCTTTCCGCCCCGTTTAAGGTCCTTTTTGGGAGAGATTTTGATTTTTCTACAGTAAATCAATTCTCATTTTCAACCACAGATTTTTCAATAAAATAATATTTTCCATCACATTAATAATTTTCTCTTCTTTTTCAACCGCACATTTTCCATCATATCACTATTTAAAATTAATTCTTCCCCCAAAAATCTCTCCCAACAAGTTCTTAATGTAAACTAAGAATTGAATAAAATGATAAATTCATAATTATATTAAGAAATTTTTACATAGAATTCAAATTTAACGTTACATGAATTATTTATA